AATTCCTCTTTGTGAAGTGGATGAAGATCTGATGTGGCCTCCCAACCTGGCTCTTGCTCTTTTTACATGAGTTTATTACTATTCTTCAATGGCCACATAAAACTCACAGATAATACTTAAGGAGTTTATTAGAGAAGTAACAGTGAAAGGAGTCATTGGAGAAGTTCAGTGTAAACTTACAATTATAATACTATTAAATTTATAAATGATAGAATTATTTTTTAGATGCTGTGGTGCCATTGAGTGCCTATGTACAACAGAATGACACTCTGCTTTCAGTATTTTGCCCCATCCTCATTGTTTAGCCTAGTGTTTCAGCCATAATGCTGTCTCATGTAAGGTCCTTCATTTTATCACTGACTCTATGTTTTACAAGTCAAGACGTCCGTCTCTGGTATCTTCTGAGAATATGTCTGATGTACTAGACAAATTGTCACCATCGTTGCTTCTAAGGATCATTCTCGCTATACTTCTAATGCAGATTCCTTACTTTTTCTGGCTGTCTATGGTATAAATAGATATACCACATTAATACCACACTTCAAATGAATCAGTTATTTGATTTTCAATACTCATTGCCCAGCTTTTGCATGGTTATGAGAGAATTGAAAATACCATTATTCGGTTTGATTTTCAATGTCCATCGTCCAGCTTTTGCATGCATATGAGATGATTGAAAATATTATGACTTGGAACCATGCTCCTCACTCCTCAAAGTGACATATTTGATTATTTATCACCTTAGACACTGTTATTGAGTCAAAGTTGACTTATAGCAACCTTCTATCAGGTTGTCAAAGCTGTAAATCTTTACAGGAATAAGCTTCCATCTTTCTGTCTCAGAGTACCGGATGGATCAAACTATGAACCTTTGGGTCAGAAGACCTGTATGTTACATACCATGCCACCAGAGCTACAGATTTTCCCAATACAATATTCCATTTGACTTTTTTTTTGACTGCTGCTTCTATAGGCATTGATTGTGGATTCAATTAAAACAGAGTCCTTATCACTTTGTATCTTTTCTCTGTTTATCAAGTGTTTGCTTATTGATATTGTTTATTATCCAGTTGTGAAGGTTTTTGTGTTCTTCGTGTTGAGTTATAATCCATACTGAAAATTGTATGGATTACTTTGCTTTTCATCTGCAAATGCTTCACAGAATCTTTTTTTTTCCAACAAGTAAGGTTGTATCATCTGAATATTGCAAGATGATAAGGATTCTCCAATCTGATGCCTTGCTATTCTTGGTATATAGTCCAGCTTCTCAGATTATTTATTCCATATACAGACTGAATAAACATAGTGAAATTATACAGTCTTTAGACATATCTTACTTTTAAAAATGTAGAATCTATTTTTTTCTGTTCAGATTACTATCCCTTGGCTTATGTTCTGGTTCTGAATGAGCACAGTTCAGTCTTCTGAGATTCTCATTCTTCACAATATTATTTAGAATTTTTTTTATGATTCACACAATCAAATGCCTTTGCATAAGCAATAACATATAGACAATTATAAAGATATTAGTAAGGTTTGTTATAAAATTTTATATGCATAGCAAGCATCTTAGAAATATGTTGTTTAGTCTGGAAAGCCTTTTGAAAAATAATATGCACATGATTCATATCAATAAAAAGAATTACATTTAAGTATATTTGGAACACATGTAGTATATTTACCTTAAAGAAATTTAAAATTCATATGTACTAATATTGTACAAAAGGCAGTGCTTTATGTTTTAACTACAGCTTTGGCCCCATCTTTAATTGCAATAAGTTTATCCTTATATTTTTTTTACTTATATACAGAAACATTCAATGAAATATTTGAGTTAAATGTTTGGTTCCCTTCTCTGTAATTCTTAAGCCTTGATGGCATAGCTTCTCAAAACGTAGACAGTTGGAGTCTACCAGCTCCTCAAAGACTCACAGTCTCCTCGCATTAGTGTTTAGAGCTTTAGAAAATTGATGAAGCGTCACCGTAATTGGGAAATGACTTGATGGTAGTGATATCTGAAATTAGCCATCAAATTCTTAAATCTTTATTTACTTTTTCCTCTCTATTTACAGTACATACATTTTCTTTTGGTGCCTACATCTTGTTCCCTATTTTTGGATTTATGTTATTTCAGTGTAAAAGCCACAAAACTACTAGATATGCAGTTTTAACTTACATAATTGCTTAAATAGAAGTCATGATTTCTATTTGCAATTGTTTATCTTCCAGGAAAATTAACACATATATAAAGCATTATGGAATTTCAGTGGAAACATATTTTTTGCCACTAAAAACTATCATCATATTCAGTTTACATATAAATTTTTATTTTGGATGCACAATTAACACTGAAGGAAGGATCAGTCAAAAAGTCAAAAGATTGGGGAAAGGTATGGACAAAGACTGTTAAAGAGCAAAGATGTCACTTTATTGTTTTAATTTTTTCTATTCATCCATTGTTGCACAAAGTATCTTCAATTGTTCCATATGAATTGTTGAAGTTGGAAAAGAAATAAAGAATATATAAGAAGAAGTAATGTCTTTTAATCACAATGTGGGCAAGCATGTTGATTTTATCATGGACTGCCAAAAGAACAAACAAATATATCTTGGAAGAAGTGAAGCTGTAATACTTCTTTTTTAAACAATGATGGCGATATTTCAACTCACAAAGTTCAGGCCTGTTATCAGGAGGGGCTAGTCCTTGGAAGAAGGCATCATGCTTGGCATAGTGAGGAATCATCATAGGAGAAGAAGACATGGAAGTTAGATTGACACGGTGACTATACCTTTAGGCTTACACGCAGATGAAATGGTGAGGATGGAGAAAGATCAGATAGTGTTTCCATTCTGTGGTATGTTGGGTCACTAGCAATCAGAGCTGACTTGAACTCAGAGATGCCTAAAAATAAAAATAGTCGATAGATCAACTAAAAGAAAAAATTTCTACTATACACACACACACACACACACACACACACACACACACTCCATAGATAAATGATCCATCTGATATCCCTTCTTCCAAATTCACTTCTGAATCCAGCTTGACTTTGTGACAGTTCCTTGTTAATGCACTGCTGCAACATTTTGAACTATCTTTTGCAAAACTTTACTTGCCTATGATATTAATGATATTGCCCAATAACTTCCACATTCTGTTGGATCAGGTTTCTTTTGAATAATCTTGTGAAATTGTTCACTTCCTGTCTTCCAAATTTCTCGTTATAGAGGCATGAGTGTTTCCAGTGCTTCACCTGTTTGTTATAGCATTTCTATTGACATTAATTACATCAATTACTTGAGTCTTCCCTACACCCTCCTCCAGTCATCTCAAGGAAGCTTGAAATTTTTTTCTTTAGTTTCTTAATTTTATGCTACTTCCTAAAGTGATTGAATATTGCTCTGTTCATTTTCATATACTGATTTTGTGTTCATCTTCTCTTCTGGTTCCCTACATTGTTAAATATTTCCCCCATGATGTTGTTAGATGCTGTCGAATCAAATATGACTCATAGTGACCCTATGAATAACAGATCTTAATCCTGTCCTCTTCTTCTCTGATACACTTGAATCCACAGCTGCAGTCACCTTGTTAGGAGTCTTCCTCTCAGTAGTTGATCCTAGTACTTTTATATTTGGTGAAGAGAAAGACAATTTACAATAAGAATTTTATTATTATTGTTGTGGTGCACTGTTTGGTTGGTACCTATTTATAGTTGATCCTACAGTGGGTTTTCAGAGTTTCTTCACTTTCCATCACAAAGGTATTTTTAATGTGATGGGCAGGACTTACAGAAAAGTAGGCATGCACCACCGCTCATTCTCTAAATTCTAGTCTTAAGTCATGCACGTGTTTCTTGATTTTTCATTAAAAGTCATCTCTCAGTCACAAGTGTTGCTTCTGCTATACTTCACATGCCTTGGGATCCTGTTAGAATTGATTTAGCTCAAGGCCAGCTTCACTGGTTGGACAGTCCATAGCAAATCGATGCTGACTAAAGAGTTGTGAGTCTCTAGTGGTTCAAACCCAGCAGTGGCTCTATAATAGAAGTATTTTACTGTTAAAATGTATCGCTCTAGAATCTCAATGGAGTATTCCATTCTTGATTCCAAATATGAGTTGGAATCAGTCCACGGGCAGTGAGAAAGATACATAAAGAGGAAGTTAGAAGTTGCAAACTTCAGGACTAAAAGCAATTAGGCCTATTTTTCTTGTGAACTTGTCTACAACTTAAATATGTTAAATTTTTATTTATGTATTTTGTAGGTCTCTGTCCTTTGATGCATAGATACTGATTACAGTTATAGCCACTTGTTCAATTGACCCTTTCTTCATGAAAGGCTAATGAAATATAATATGTTCACCCCACAGAGAATTATGCATCTCTAAAATTTATTAAGAACTTGTGAAAAAATGCACAACCTGGCCTATGTTAGAACAAATCATGCTGTCTATTATAAAATAACAATTATAAGACCACTAATATAAAATGCTAAGAAAAACTTTATGCATCTAGAATCAATCTTGGAAGGAGGGAGAAGGGAACAAAAAACAATAAATATTAGATGAAGAGAAAGGTAATTTACAATAAGGGTTTGATAATTGTTATTGTTTTTGTTGTCGACTGTCTGGTTGGAATCTATATCTATGCATATCTATGCATATTTTACCCTCCTGGGGATTTTCAGAGACCATGAATTACACAGGAGAAGATTGCCCATCTTTCTCCTGAGGACCAGGTAGATTTGAATTGTGTGCTCTCTGGCTACTAGAGTTCCCTAAGGGTTTGATTATTGTTGTTGCTGTGGAATTGAGCACAACACATAGCAACCAACCCTTTGAACAAAAGATCTGAAGCCTTTCTATAATTATCATCATTTCTCAAAGTTCACGGAGTTTCCAGAGGCATGTTGTTTAGAAAGGGTTACCACTTCTGCTTCCAAACCTGTCTTAACCTGGGAGCGCCACCAAACACTGTCCACCATGGGTAATCGTAATGCCATCTGACACCCCAATGGTACTGAAGGACTATGAGAAAGTTAACTTTTGACCCTTCTCAGGTAGAAGCCATAAAACCTCACAAGATTATGAGAAAGCTTAACTTTTGCCCTCTTTTTAGAAAAACAGGGCCATAACCCAGTCAGAAAAACAAGGTTATAAAACAGCTCACCCACATCTGGGAGTACAGGTAAGAAGGGAAGTTCCAGGAGTTTTTTGTCTGAACTTTACTGCCCCACCCCTGCGCTGACCCCGCTTGCCACGGGCCAACTCGCTTTTAAATGCACCAATCAGCAACCCTCCCTGTGTGTTAACCTATGTTTGCGCAGGTCATTGCCTTTATAAGCTGTATGTACCCCTAGCTCGGGGCTCAACTCCTCTGCCTCTGCGTAGGTTATGAGTTGTGCCCCAGCACGCTGGAAGAAATAAACACCTCATGCTGTTTGCATCAAGGACCGTCTCGTGAGTGATTGGTGCTGGTGTCCGATCTCATTGGGGTCTGGCTCTGCGGATCCAACCGTACAAGGTTCAGCATCACAACAACCCCAGGTTACCTCAGCACAGCAAATTAATAGAAGAGTGCTGTACCACTTAGAAGAATATTCCTCCAAAATAACCAACTTTTAAATATAAAGGTCCTCCACAAGGTTTTGTTTACTCTAAACAAGAAGCTTAAATAAAAAAACTAGCAATATAATATGTTGTTGTTAGGTGTTGTCTCCTGTGACCCATAGTGATTCTGTGTGCAGTAGCCCTGAACCCTTCCCTGTCCTTAGCCAGTTTCACCTATTAGATATATTAATTAATTAATTAGTTAATTAATTATAACTAATGTTATAAAGCAAAATGCTATGTATGATTTAATGGAAAACCATTCAACATTGTTAACTTTCACACAATAAATTAAACATAGGGTTTTTTAGAAAGTGTGGAGAAATTAGATGCCTCCTTTGCGTCTTTATATCTTGGAATATAAAACAATGCAACTTCAATGGAAAATGATCTTAAGATTCTTTAAAAAATGAAACATAAATTTACCTTAAAAAATGCAAATAGACCAATAACACGATATTAGGAAGAAGGGAAGGAGAGGCTCCTAAACTTCCCTGTTTCAATTTTGTAAATTAAGTTTAAGTACATCTTTTGATTACTATTTAATTGAAAGGCTTTTCTATAAACTAAACTAAATGCAATCTAACTATTAAAGGTTTAAGTAACTAAATGTGTATTTTTTATGTTTTTGTTTTACTTTTCTCTATTTCCTTTTCTTATTGATTTCAATGAACATTTACAGAGATTTTGGATTTCCATTCATTCATTGTTGTACTTTTCTCCTCCCTCCCCACCCCACCAGTTCACTCTTCTCTTTGAAAAGCAAAAGAAAATCTTCTTCATTGGTATACAATCCCCCTGCCCCTCCCCACCCCAAGTATACTGGACTCTGCAATTCTCATTCCGAACTCTTATGATAATCATAATGCCCGAAAATATATTGCTTTTAAACTGTTATCTCCATAATCGGCTCCAGTTTTTCTCAGTCTTACTCCACCCTGATGTCAGCCTTATTCTACAACAGTGGCACCATACAGTATTTGTCCTTTTGTGACTGAGATACCTCACTCAGCATAATGTCCTCCAGGGTCCCCCATTTTTAATAATATTGCATGAGTTCCTTGTTTTTCAATGCAGCATAGTATTCCACTGTGTGAATGTTCCAGAGCTTCTCTATCCGTTCATTTATTGATGGGCACTTGGGTTGTTTCCAACTCCTCGCTATTGTGAACAAAGCCAAGATAAACATGGGTGTGCATATGTCTGCTTGGGTGGCAGTTATGGTCTCTTCAGGGTTTATTCCCAGTAGTGGAATTGCTGGGTTTTTTTTTTTTAAGAAACAAACATGTCTCTTTTACTTTTCCAAGAGGGTAGTATACTAGGGGGGAGGGTTGGGAGGGGAGAAAGTGCAGCAATGAATGAATGGAAATCCAAAGTCTCTGTAAATTTTTACTGAAATTAATAATAAATTTCAATTAAAAAAAATAGAAATAAGAAAAAAGAAACAAACATGTCATTGTTTGAGAGCTTTAGTGACTTTATCCTTAGGGAGTTGTGCTGCCAACCTAAAGAGGGACAATCAGCTGCTGTGCAAAAGAAAGTAAGGAAATCTCATCCTGTGTGATTTACAAGCTCTGAAACCCACTTGGAGGGTCAGTTATGTGTTAGTCTTGACTCCACGGCACATAAAAATAACAACAAAACATAGTGAATGTATGATTTATGCAATTTACTTCTAGGTAAAATTCAAGATCAGTCTCCAGCAAGTGGAATTTAACAAGGCTTGCTCTTTGACTTCCAAGGAATAATTATCTGAGATATTCAAGAAGCAGTGTAGTGATTCATGAGTGACTTTCATTTCTTAGACAATCTACCTTCCCAAATCTGTCTACCTTTAATGTATGCTAAATACCATGTCATGGTCCTTATAAGTACAGTACATGCTTTTATAAATCTATTTGAATACATGTCTTTACATTTCCCAGGAAGTTTCCTGCTTGTGTGTTTGTAGTATCATCATGGAAAATGTAAAATTCATAAGGTAGAAATGGAATTAATAGATATTTTTGCTACATAAATAATCTTTGAAACATATTTATCTATTTACATAATTTATAGTATCAGTTGTAACATAAGAAAGATAATGACTTTTGAGAAGTATATATAAGAAAATACAATGTGAATTAGCATATGATGTTGTTGTTAGGTGCCATTGAGTTGAGTACTACTTATAGCAATCATAGGAACAAAAGATCTGAAACCTGTTCTATCACTATTGTTGTTTCTCTAATGTTCATAGAGTTTCTAAAGGCATGTGGTTTAGGAAGTATATGCAAATCCTGCTTCCAAGCCTGTCTAATCTGGGAGATCTACCAAGTACTGTCTGCCAGGGGTAAACATTATGAAATTTGATATACCAGTGGCACAGCCATTCAGTATCATAGCAACAACTGACAGCTCCGTTCTATAAGAATGTTCTTCCCAAACACAATTGACACAAAGCCTGAGGGTTGTAGGCTAAAGGGCTCAATCAACTTTTAAATACAATGGCCTGCTCACCAGGCCCTGGTTTGACTTAAAGAGGCTTCCAGGACACAGCCGAATGTTAGCTAAATCCAGTAAATCCAGGCAACCAATCAGCCCACACACAATTGTGAACAAAAAAAAATTACCAGTTTACACACACAACTAGATGTTGTTGTTGTTATGTGCCTTGAGTCATTGAGTCGCCTGAAACTTATAGCGAATCTATGTAAAACAGCCCTAAACCCTGCTCTATCTGTGCCAATCTCACTGTCATTGACACACCTACCCCCATTACCCCAGTCATTGAATCAATCCATATCATTGAGGGTCTTACTCTCCTACTCTGTCCCTCTACCCTCCCAAGCATGACGTCCTTCTCAAAGGACTGTTCCCTCCTTGCAACATGTCCAAAATATATCAGACGAAGCTTCAGAATCCTTGCCTTCAAGGAGCAGCCTGGCTTCACTATTTCCAGGACAAAGCTGTTTGTTTTCTTAACAGTCCATGGACTCTTCTCCAATACCACAGCTTAAAGTCATCAATTCTCCTTCTATCATCTCTAGTCATTGTCCAGCTGTCTGATACATAGCAAGTGATTACAAAGATCACGGTATGTATCAGGTGCATCTTAGTCTCCAGACTGATTTTGTTGCTCTCCAGCACATTAGAGAGGTATCTAACCACAACTGGATGTAGAAATGTTTATTATTCCCTTTGCTTTATATCCTTCCTCAGAATTCCATGGGAGGTATGTTATGTGATTGTCAAGAGCACTGACTTGACAGACTGTGCTTGATTTTAAATTCTTCCAGTTTTCTTTAATATTAATATACTTTTAGGCTATATATTTGTATTTTTAATCCTTCAAATTAAGAAAAATAAAAGTACTGTGGCATAAAGTTGGTCGGAAATATAAAGGAGACTATATATAGAAATTGAGTAGAACGGTGTGATGCTTAATAAATGTTAGGTGTTAAGATGTCTTTCTAAAAAGGTCTTGTATGAAATTGTTAAAACTCTAAGGAAATATATGGTTGTTGTTGTTATGTGCCATTGAGTCACTCGTGACTCATAGCAACCCTATGTACAAGAGCCCTAAATGCTATTTTATCCTGTACCAACCTCACCATCTCAAACACACTCATTCCCACACTCCACTCACAGAATCGATCCATCTCATCGAGGGTCTTCCTCTCCTGTGCTGTCTTTCCACTCTCCCAAACATGATGTCCCTCTCCAAGGACCAGTCCCTCCTTGCAACATGCCCAAAGTATGTCAGACAGAGACTCAAAATCCTTGACTCCACGGAGCGTTCTGGCTTCACCCTCTCCAGGACAAACCTATTTGTTCTAGCAGTCCATGGTATATTCAACACTCTTCTCCAGCACCACAGCTCAAAGGCATCAATTCTCTTTCTATGATCCCTATTCACTGTCCAACTCACCGATGCATAGCACCTAATTGCAAAGGCTATAGCCTGGATCAGGCACATCTTAGTCTACAGCCTGATGTAGTTGGTCTTCAGTACTCTTGAGGAGTCCCTCACAGTTGACTTTTCCCAATTCAATTCGTCCCTTGATTTCCTGGCTGTTGGTACCAACAGTCTTGACTGTGGAACCAAGTAAACTAAAACTGTTAACTATCTCAATCTCTTCATCATCCATGCTGATGCTGTCAATTGGCCCAGTGGTGAGAATATTTGTATTCTTGATGTCGAACTTCAATCCATATTGAAGACTGCAGTCCTTGATCTTCTGTAGCAAGCATTTCAGGTCCTCCTCAGTTTTAGTAAGCAGGTTGTTTCTTTCCCATAACGCAGGTTGTTAATGAGTCTTCCACCAATCCTGATGTCACATTCCTCCCAGCATCTCGGATGATCTGATCTACATACAGATTGAAAAGGGGTGGAGACCAAATACATCCCTGACGGACCCCTTCTTGATTTTGAACCATGTAGTGTCTCCTTGCTCTGTCTGACAACTGCCTCTTGGTCCAAGTATAGGTTTCTCATTAGCACAATCAAATGTTCTGGGATTCCCCTTCTTCTCAGAATCAGCCATAGCTTGTCGTGATCCACACAGCCAAAAGCCTTTGTATAATCAATGAAACACAGACATTCTTCTTGTCTTCTCCGTTTTCTGCCAAGGTCCCTCTAGCATTAGCTATAATATCCCTAGTACCATGACCTCTTCTAAATCCAGCCTGCACATCTCTTTGATCCATCTATATATATGTATACTGTA